GGCCAACAGGGATGAAACCAAGCCGGGGACTCTTCTGTGCACACTCTTAGAAATGAGGGGCATTTTCTGTGACAATGTGTGTTTAAAGTCCTGTCCTTGGGACGTGCGCATGTGCCAGCGATGGGATGAGAGAACAGTACACTCACCCAACATAGTACCTGCTCCAGCCTGAAGCACAGAGGAGATACTCTTAAGGCCTCCCTTCTCCAAAGAAAACAGGAGCATTCCTTATTTTCCCTTGTGTATTTAAGAAACCCACCACACATTCCTGGGCACTGGCCTATCCCAAGCCAACCATGGAATGAGAGTTTCTGTGCTGTAAATCCCATGAAGAAACTGGACTAACAGAGGAATAGCCTAACAATTGCTACCTTCTGAGAGCTGCTTAGTGGTCTGCAAAGTGCACCACAAATCTCAAGAGACTTCTTTTCACATCGTTAAAGCCACCCTCAGAACTGGCCTCCATACTGAGGGTTTCAGCATAAAACCTGACGGGCTGTCCAGAGAGCTGCTGCAGGAGCATGTCAGAGGTGTGTGGCCAGGCCAAGCAGGTCCATTCAGGCCATACCTACTTGGAGGACATGAACTGCCAGGCTCCAGCACTTCTTCCCAGCCACACCTCACCTGCTTAAATCTTTGTTCCCACAGGGTACAAAAAAAACTGTTGTGGTAACCGTCAGAGACACCTTGGTCGACTCATCAAGAAGAGGACACCACCATTACACCTCGGGGCTGCAGCAATGCCATTTTAAAGCTCCTACAGAGAGATTAGAGAAAGGGAAGCTGAAGTAAGTCTGGCACCAGGCAGCACCAGGGAAGAAGTCTGTTGTTACCTCTGATGTCTGGTCACCATCAGACACTGCAGTGCAGTCAGCACTTTCTACTTTTACCAGGGAGGAGCCCTGCAACACCATCTAAGCCTTTAAATGTAGAGCACAGTGACGTTTGAGAGCAGAGTGTTCAGTTATCCACCATGAACAAGATCAAAGATGTTTTCTGTGTCAGATAAGGGCAATTGGACGTGGCATTTTAGGGATCACTTGAAGAATTTCTGAACTAGAAATCAAGCACTTAGGTATAGCTTTCCCAATCATATTTTCTACTCCAGGCAGACAGAGAAGAAAACAAATAACTCTTTATCTCTGCAGCAGTAAACTAGCAGTCTCCTACACATGTGAAAGAATTGCCTGGGAAACAAGCACACAAGAATGTTGTGGTCAGAGTTTAAAATCAAAATCCAATTCAGCCAGAAAGCTGCAGGTTGCTTTTGCCCTTTTCATGAAGGAGCTAGATTCAGTGGCACACAGCAGGCAGAGCTGCCCAGCAGAGCCTCCCCCCTGTTTGTTATTTTTAGCAATTCAGTCTGACAACGCCTGACAACTAAACATGCTGAATATAGCAGGAGAGAAGGGGACAATCAGATATTATCAGAGAAAACACAGTGACAATCACTTTCTCCACCCCTAATGAAGAATCAATTTTCCATGTCTTTATAACATCATAGAGTTTGTTCTTTTTAAAATGCCACATTTATAAACAGAATCCATCTAGCCCCACAATGGAAACGGATAACATTTCCTGACACAAAGCATTGTTCCACCACTCACATATCGTGTTTCCTTAAAAACAAGGGAAGAAAAACATTACTTGGTTTTTCTCTTAATACTGCACAAACACTGCTGATCTAAAAAGAGTCTGTGCTCATCCCTTTAGAATGCTTTCAAAATAGATTTAACACATACCTCTTGTACTGTGAAACACAAAAAGAATTTGATCGTATCAGAACTGGAAAAATCCAATGGCTGCTGCTATGCAGGACACCTCCCGTGCCAGCAGCGAGCCCGTGTCATCCATCCCTGCAAGACTCAAGCAGGTTTCTGTAAGCCTCACTGGCACTGCCTTTAGCAGGCACGTGTACCTTGCCAGCAAGCCTGGGCAGGCTATTTGCATTCCAAAGGATTTTATTCAGGTCCTGAAGTTAAGAATGCCCCATACCTACACATATCTATTGACGTTCATACCTTGGCTTTAACTGGAAAAGGGCAAAGCTACCTTGCAGAGGTAGGTAAGAGGTAGCTTTTGCCAAGGCTAGGTAGCTGCAGAGAGGCTGGCTACGCATCTGCCCCTCACACACACCCGCAGCACTTCAGCATTCCCAGAACACCCTTCCCCTCACCCAGTGCTCCCAATGCCTATTTCAGCCAAGCCTTATTTTCACAGACCTGTACAAAGACAGGTCTGGTTCTCCCCTGAGCAGCAGAGAGGACCAAACGAGCGTTGCCTGGACAAAGGCAATGTGCTGCTTCACCACCGAAGGGACCCAGCGGTGAGGAGAGATGGAGTAACTGCAATCACGCATCACAGCGGAGACTATCAGAGGAGGGGGGAAAGAAGCTTCCAAACCAGATGCAAAACCCACGCTGCTTTCAAAGATCACTCTGACAGCTGTGAATGTCAGCAAGGCCAGCTGACTTCCCTGAAGCAGGTTAAAGGCCACATTTCCACCTAACAGTCAGCGCTCAGGAGCTTTCCTCATTGCACAGCTGGCTGGAGTTACAGAACCACTCAGCAGGGCCCAGCCCTCCGTGCCGCCCTCTTCTGCAAACAGCACCAACCTGGCAGTAAAAGCACTCCTCAAATTTACGCTTCTATCAAAAATACACATTTCACAATACCTTGGCAATATCAAGGCATAACTGTCTCAAGCTCACATGACACGAGTAAGCAGCTCAGCCTGCCGTGGGTACTGGAGGATTACTCTGGCCAGCTTGATTCAGCTACGCAAAGTGAGAAATGCAAGCAACAAGGTAGTTAACAATGCGAAATATAAACCTAAGCTTTAAAATCCTTCCTGTTTTAATAACAGATGGAGAGAAGTTTTAACCTATCTTGGTTTGGTATTTATTTTACAATAATGCAGTGGAAGCACAAGGTCACAAAGTTTCAAATTCTTCAAATTCTTTCCTGCTTCTGTCACAAATTGTTTTCAGGACAGCAAAAACCTACTTCTGTGATAAGTGCTCTCTGACTTGGACGCAGGTATTTCTCCTGACATCTCAGTTTCCAGTAGTTGTCAGTCTAAAAGCTTGTCCTGTTCCATGGGGAATTCCAGGCGTAAGGAAAATCCTTTTCACAAAGCTGCCAGACAGCTGGAAGATGCACTTGAACATCTACTTAAAATGTTTTGGTGATTTGAGCCATGGCTTAAAAGAAAAACCATGCCATGTGGCAACCATATTCCTACTCCCAACACCTTTCGAGACAGTCCCCAACGCTGAGAACTTGAATTCAGTGGCCATAGCCAGAGACTCAAGCAACAGGGAGTTATGAAGCAGAAAAAAATACTTTCGCAAAGCAATCAACTCTGAGCCTTTGTGCAAGAATGGGAAAGGTTATAATTTGGGGGGGTGGATTCCATCCATTCTGCTGAACTCAGCAATCAGAAAGTTCAGGAGGTAAGATCATTCTCCACTAGGAACAGGAAGAAAATGAGATGCACAGCTGAAGGGCACAGTAGCCAAAATGCTGACCACAGCCCGATGGCCCTTGCAGCAAGGGATCCCATGGGCAGTTTGTAACCAGAAGCTGCCAACCACACTCCAATCGCTTCCAAATCCAGACATCTTGTTATGAAGTTCCCCAAGCCCAGTTGCAGAGTTTTCTTTGTGCAAAGCCACCAGCATCTGGGATGGCTCCAGAGTAGCCAGGATGCAGTTGCTTTTATCACATAACCACAAAAGCTCCCTGTGCCTTGCCTGCACCAACACCACCTTAAATATACAGCCTATCTATGGAGTACTTTTTTTCTCCCCCCTCTGTGCAGAAAAAGTTCTCATGGCCAGAAACACAAAAACCCTTTAGTGTCTGGCACAGAAAACACTCCAGGCAACAGAACACATGGTGATGTGCTTGTCCTACAGCTGCATAGGCAAGCTGAGCTTTAAAAGAAGAAGAAAAAAAAAAAAAAAAAAAAAAACCACTATAGTGTAAAATAGGAGACAATGGAAACAGAACCACACTGGAGTAAGCCTGAGCACAGACTTCCTATTCCTCCTTGTCCCAGCATAGCTGGTCTCCACATTGACTTTCTGCAAAACACTAACAGCCGAGATAAGCACCTTGACAGAACTCAGCCTTTGTTTTCTCTGTCATTTCCCAAAACAGTAGGAACAGGGTTTTGTATTAATTATATTTTAGGGTCATTAAGAAAAAATACACCAATGGCCTTGGAAAAGTACATTTTGAACATCTTCTCCAAAGAACTGTAAGCTGTCCATGTAGCCAACTCAAAGATGGCCAAGATTCACTAGATAACGAGTTTGAACACTGGAACTTGCACGGACACTACTTTATATTTCCTAGATATTCTGCTCTGCCTTGACTATTTCAACCAGATAAACATAAGAACACAGAGGTGCTCTGACCACACCAACAAAACAAAGTCCCATCTACCCCTAGATCCAGTCTTCAGCAGCAGCCACAAGCAGATGCCTCAGGCAGGGGCTAAGGACAAGGCAGGCACATACAGTACTTCCTGCTCATACTTTCCCAGCCTCCAGACATTTTTAGCTCTGAGACTTCCTGAGCAGGATGCCATTTCTACATATTTGGTAATCCTCAATAGACTTCTCTTCCATGAATTTGTGCAATTGTTCCAAGCCAGTGTGAACTTCTAATATCCATAGCACTAGCAAAGTTTCATATCGCCTACCTGCTGCAAATAAGCACACAAACAGCATTTTGCCAGTTCTAAACCTTGTTCCTACTAATCTCATTCAAATCCCTCACCCTTCAGTTTTCACATCAGGACACAGCACCAACAACCATTTCCTACTAGGGTTGTAGAACCAAATGACGTGAATTACTTGCAGGTTACTTGTAACAGGTAGCTACAATCCTTCAGAATGAGAAGTACCAGATAAAAACAAGGGATGCAGCAAATAGCATCTTGTTGACCTTCAATGTCCTATTTTCATCACCATTACCTGCCAAAGACTTACCTCTAATTCTTTAATTTTCTCTTCAGCTATTCTCTGTTTTTCTAAGAGCTGATTATGAATCACTCCTTTAGATTGAAGAATAAACCTACAAGTGAAAAAGAAGAGACAGACAACCGTTGGATTTTTTTTTCACATCTGTTGTACACCTAGCTGCACACCAAGCATAAACCCCAGTGACCTCTGCAAAGCAGTCATCCTCAGCCCATGTGCTCTGAACAGGGGCAGAAGAAATTGCTAGGACAGCTCCCACAAACCACCATGCTGGCTTCAAAGGTTTACTCATTCATCTCACCCATCATCTGCGAGGAAGAACTGGATGCACACAGGTCTCCCTCTGTCATTTAGTGTCCTTGAATGATCTGAAAGCAGTTCTTGTCCACAGGTAGCAAAGGGAGACTGTCACCACATTCCCTTCAAAGGGATCTAAATCAATTGATGACATGTAGTCAAGCAAGACGCTTCCAAGGGGTGAAAGCCAGTCATTATCATTTTAGTGCACACAAGCTAAACAAGCCTGCTTAATAAAAGCAAAGCTTTCTACAGAGAAAGGCTGAGAGTGTTGGTATTGTTCAGCCTGGAGAAGAGAAGGCTCTGGGGAGACCTTACTGAGGAATTCCAATATGTAAAATGAGCTTATAAGAAAGAAACATGGCAATTTTTTACCAGGCTTGTAGTAACAGGACAAGGGACAAAGTTTTTAAACTGAAGGTGGGCAGGGTTAGGTGGGACATAAGGAGGAACTATGTTACAGTTCAGGTGCTGAGACATTGGGATGGGCTGTTCAGAAGAGCTGTGGGTACCCCATCCCTGAAGCGTTCAAGGTCGGGTTTGACGGGGCTTTGAGCAACCTAATCTAGTGGAAGATCTCCCTGCTCAGGGCAGGAAGGGTTGGACTGGATGGTCTGTGAAGGTCTCTTCCAACCCAAGCCCTTCCGTGATTTGATGATGGAGGGCAAGCACCTCCAGCAAGAGCACGGAGCCACAGTACACCTGCCTTTACTTGAGTTTTCACAGCTCCCACTGCCTAGGGCTTGGCTTTAACACACCCTCACTGACCTCCAAATTCGCATGCTTCCTACATTCAGAGAGTTCTCCTGTGGGGTGAGAATTGGTCACTTGAATGGAAATAACAGCCATTTCAATGTGTTGTTTTTTAATCGCCAAAGGGATTTGGAAGATGCCTCAATCACATCTCAGTCATAGCAATCCTACTTGACAGCATGCAAAAAGCTGCCCGACTTGCTCAGAAGAGCCTCTGAAGGCACATCAGCATCCAAAGCAGCTCTCCAGCACATGGCACTGGCATCCCACAAAGAGGTAAAGGACAACTAAGTTCAAATGAATTTTAGGATCCCTCCATGGTTGTTTTTCATCCTTCCAGACATAAAGAATGTCCAAGATGCAGATTCGCCCCTTCCCTACTTAGAATGTCCCCCAGGGGATTTAGAAGGAGCCTCAATGCGTCATACCAACGAGGTCAAGGTCTCCCTCCACCACAAACTAGGGTCATTGCCTTCCTGCCAGGTGACAAGAGCTCATGCTTGAACAGTTAAAATGAGCAGCTTTAGACAGGGCAGAATCAGAGTGAATTCCCTGTCTGCTACTGAAAAATCTGGAATCGGTTTGCAGTGCCATCTCCCATGACAAGTGACATTATTAACATACTTGCTCAGGGCCCGGTAAACACAAACAGGGATTTGCTGCTTGGCTTGAAACCCAGCACACTCTTCCTCAGCAACACAACAGCTGCAAAGAAAACTACCTGCCAAGTGCATTCCTGACATGCACGGGAGCAGAGCTGTGGTTAATTATAACAGGGTTCCAATTAATACTCTCTTCAGTGCTTGCACTTAACTGCACTCAGCTATTGCTTCCTCCTCTTGCTCCCACTTCACTCCTGTGCTCTGCTTCACCTCCTCTTTCCTACATAAACTTCCAATATACCTTTTATATTGCCATTTTCTGAAATTTCTTCCCAGCCTCAGCTCATGCTTATTACCAGTGTCACGTTGTGCTATATCTGCTCCTGTTCTTTACAACACAGCTCACTCATACTCTTTGTCCCCTCACTTCTCCCTAGTACACTAGATGCCTCCACAATCCATTTTCACACACTGATAATGTTTTCAGTTGCCAGCACACACCAGGCTGCTGAAATGAAATGCAGGTTTTGCTCAATCTTCTGAAAAATCAAGTCCATGGACACACTTCTAGGAAAAAGACACTATTTACATTGCTATTAGATGCAGAGCCTGGATCCAGTCAGAGAGAAGCTACTTTCCAAGCTACTTTTTAACTGAAATTGTTTAGTCTGGAGAAGAGGCAGCTAAGGGGAGACCTTGTTTCTCTCTCCAACTCCACAAAAGGATGTTGGAGTGAGGTGGGGGTTGGTCTCTTCTCCCAAGGAACCAGTGATAGCACAAGAGGAAATGGGCTGAAGTTGCACCAGGGGAGGTTTCAATGGGATATGACGAAGAATTTCCTTCCTGCCAGAGTGATGAGGCATTGGCCCAGGCTGCCCAGGGAGATGGTGGAGTCCTCGCCTGTGGAGGGGTTCAAAAAATGTGTGGATGTGGTACTTCAGGACATGGTTTAATGGTCATGGTAGTGCTGGGTGGATGGTTGGACTTGATGATCTTGGAGGTCTTTTCCAACCTTAATGATTCTATGATTCCAGGACCACCAGCAACCACGTCATTCTGACACTCTTGCATTGAGCCTGGAAACATTAGCCTTCACATACACATTCCTTGTAGATTTTGGGGTAAAGACTAAAATTGTGCCTTGCTTCTGCAGTTGCTGCCATCAGTGAAAAATCAAAGCTGCAAGATTCCCTCAGTAAACAAAGCCATCAGTTCTGTCCCACGTCACAGCTTCCCTGAGCCCGTGTGTGCGTACATGAACATTTCCTAAATTGCTTCCTTCATCTGTGGGGACAGCAAAGAAGAAGAATTAAATACCTTTCAGCTGCTTCCCCAAAATGTGCACCAAGATGGATCAGTTTGGTTTCACTGATGCCCCCAGTCTATGAAACACAGCTCAACAGCAACCCAGCTTGAGCAATGTTTCCCACGCTGCAGGCAGGGAGGTCCCTACTGGGCCACAGGCACTGAGCAACCCCAGCTGGTGAGAACCACTGCAGGCGCCAAAACCTTGGAACAAATAAGCAGCCGACTTCACTTCTGTTCTACAAATGTCAACAGCAATCACTGGGGAAAATAGCCTCCTTCCATGCCTGCCTGCCACCCTCCTGCAATGCCCTGGCAGACATGCAACAGCAAATTAAAACTGGATGGCCAAAGTTAGCACTGATGAGACTCGTGTCGGCAGCCGGACACAAATAGAACCACCCCAATTTTATTTGCCATAAAATAGTGGGCTAGAACCCATGTCCATTCACACGCTGGCTCAAGCAGATCAAATGTCCCTGACTTGGCCAGCAGCATCCTTCAGGAGGTCTTCAGCAGTGCCAGCTTCAAGACACCCATTTTAGTTCCCTGATGCAAGACCACAGAGCCCTCACAGCCTAAAGCACACAGGCACTGACATGTAAGCTGTCAGAGGCCAGTTTTCCTGAAGTTGAAGCTATAAGTCCACATCCACAGTTAACTATTTAAATTTGCAGCTTCACTTTCCAACATAAGGACTCAAAAAACCTTATCACTGTTACAGCTTCCAGCTTGGGATACACAAATTTTGGGGATCTCAGCTGTAGCTTTTACCAAAGAAAATAGTGTGGCTTATGGCAGCACTTGTAAAAAGCAGAGGCTTGCTGTGATCATGAGGTATGAGGTGCTGCAGGGCACTTGTAACAAGCCAACATTTAAATTTCATCTGGGTTTCCTTCTTTCAATTATCCTAAGTAAAGCACCAACTTGATAATTTTTCTTCTCTCACCAAGCTAGAGAAAAAGGACAGGGTCATTCTACTGTCTGGTTTTAGTAAAATGTGGTTGCTTTACTTATGATTTTTTAAGCTCATGAAAGAGCCATGGGAGGTTCTGAGGATGTTCAGTTTGTCCCTGAGTCTGTGAACAAGCCTTTCAAACACAGGAACTTCATTCACTCAGTGTCTGGAGGTACAGCACCAGCTGAAAACTGGCCCCACATCAGAGCCACTGCATCTGAGGAGCAGATTTCTGCTCTGTGATGCTGGGCTTGGCAGGCAACGTGACCAGCCCCCAAGAGCTACCTCCATATACCACTCTGCTAGAGTCCGCCACAGGAGGCTCCAAGCTCTGGGAGTTTTTACGCTGAGCTGGGATGGCTTTTAAGGATTGACAGTCCACAGAAGACAAGCAGCAAACCAAATCCTCTTCCAGTTAAGCAAGTACAGTTGTGTTTGCCTTCTCCCAGTGCAGCTTCACATCACACACAAATAGATCTGTCAAACACAACCCCCAAGCTATCAAACGGAACAGTGATTCAGAAAACTGCTCAGCACCACCGAGGCAATTGTAAAGCTCAGTAACAACCACCCGTCCACACAGGAACTTTTTCACAGTTGTTTAATGACACCAGAAATACCTGGGTCAGAACAGACAAGAGCAACACATGTCAGCTGGACACTGATTTCAAAGGGAATGGCTAGTAAAAACCAGGCAGGATTTGCCCTATTCCAGATACTCAGCAATTTTTCCAGTGTCCATACATGAAGGTAAAAACTCAGAACAAAGAAGACTCGAAAAGAAAGCTATGGAGGAGAGGGGTCCTCAAAGACAGCCAGGCCTGGCCTGCCAACAAGAGCAGCTCCAGCAGAGGGACAAAGCTATGAGTTAGTTATACCTATGTGCTCTGGTCTCCCCGTGACTGCTGGCCCTCAAGAGCAGTACGAGGACCAAAAATAGAGAACAAGGGAACTGCAAGAGTAACCTCACTCTAAATATTCCTACTTGTTTCTATTTTCATCCCTCTGCTAGCTCCACACGAGTTTTGTTTCCCTAAGGCAGAGAAAGCAGTTTATACACTCTCTGAGACTCCTTGCTTGTTCCCTTCTGAAGGGATCTCGTACCCCTTCCCAATGATAAATTTCTAGAAATGGTGCCTGTTTATTCAGTGTTTATACAGCACTCCTTTATGTCCGAGT